CGCGGTGTGCAAACTGACTGCCATTCTGGCGACGAGAAGTGGGGCCTCCTGGCCGATCGGGAGTCGTCAGACGGATGCATTATACATTGGTCCCCTCACTGAAGCGGGAGGCTGTCTGACCTGGCAGTCGGCTCCAGATTGACAAAGAGGCCCTCATTGACGCAACAAGGTAACTGATCAACAGTCCACAAAATGTAAAAGCTCGGCTCAACTAGCCCTTATCTGAACTGGGGTGGAGAGCCCCCGTTACGTACTGGGGGCCCCGGCTGAGTCACGCTTCTCCCTCCGTCCGTCTATTGCATGTGGTGGGCCGCCTTTATGAGATATCATATCTCCTTGCACTGACTGATAACCACGACAAATGTAAGAGGTCCTCTGGCAATTGGGGTCCATTCCCTGTCCCTGTCCAGGAGATGTTTCCGTAAATTACTGGGACCGCTTACCGGCAGAGGACCTCTTGTTCGGCACTGTGGGCTCGTAACTGACGTACGGCCCTCATTGTTACGTGGGCCCTACAAATGCAAATCGCCAGTCCCGGCCTCGTCCCTGCTTCTGAAATAGGCCGCATATATATATTATATATATATATATATATATATATATATATATATATATATATATATATATATATAATATATATTCACACAGGTTGTGAATCTACGCGCGTCAGCAGAACAACGTATTACAGATAGTTTTTGTCTGAAATGCAGCATTTGCACCTCACATTATCATCTAAAATACCAGCACATTTTGACCATTTGATGATTCGATGACCGTGATGCGGGTTGAGAGCCACCTATGACCGGCACAAAGCATCTCTACTTGCGCAGCCGTGCACCCCACGAGGCCCCGGTAATTTTGAGAAAAAATTACTTTGGCGTTGTCTTTAAGTGCCCAGGTGGAAGTTTTCCGTGATGAAAACCATCCTTTTTGTTGCATTATGATTGGTACGTCGAGACGCGGTCTTTCATGTGCAACAGGTAAAGTACAAAATCATCTGGAAAATTACTCGTTAGCGCCTTTTAAATGGTTCACTCAATTTTACTATAACTTGCGTAAGCATTGGGATATAGTGGCTATCACGCATATTTATCACATTTTCCTGATCTCGTTTCGTTACGGTGGATGAATTCGCTGTCAAGGATACCCTACCAGCAACGCAACAATAAATTGCGAGGGGCAATGAACGGGAAGTGTTTAAGCTAGATGCTTGATCAAATTTACAGGCATTCTTAACGCTATTGATTCCTTGCATGGTCAAGTTAGTCAAAATCCAAGAGATGAGGGCGTAAGTCACAGGTTGATCTGACCTTGAACACATGTCAACGGCCATGCTACTTTTGATTTTGTTCCCAGGTCATAATTTTGCAGCTACGATTCCATGACCAAACTGGTCATCTAAATCAGTTTTTAATGGCTCTGTCTGCAGCGCAGTTATGCACTCTAGGGAAATTAAATGCAAAATTGTGTCGCCCATACTAACGTCCTTAGTGTCTGCCTTGACCAGGTATGTTTAAAGCTCGCTCTACCTGAACGTTGCAAAAGACGGATAAACTTATCTGGTTCGGTAAAGGCTGGAGGGACAACGGTTAAGCCCCAACCTTCTTAAACAGCTAGAACAGTTCCAGTTCTGTCCATCCAACTTTCAGAGCCTCCTATGAGGTTTCGCGCATTGGTGGACCGTAATTTTCAACGTCACATGATGTTACAAAATAAACGACGCAGGTCAAAGCCTGTGCGGGGATTTTGGTAATTAAAGTCAAGTGAGGTCACGAAGAGAGGTCATGTAGTCTGCCTTTAGAGGTGCCGCGCTACAATAATTATTGGCACCAGTTTGGCATGCTTAAGCCGGTACTACCGCCTCGTTTCCGAAACAGGCGCCTCTACAGCCCAAACGTAATTGGATAGAATGCAACTCGTATCCAAGGCGAGTTCAGCTAGCTTGCAACAAAAACAGTCCATAGGCCCAAGAGACCTCGGGTGGGGCCTACATGACCCCAGAGGTCCCAGTCAAGTTATGTCATCAAATACCCAGGCAGCTGGTAGCATTGATCCGTAACTACATGGGGATTGGGGTTGACTAGCGATTGCCGTCTTGGAGTTGATTGAGTCACTTTCAAAGGAGAAAGTGAGTTCATTCGATTTTCGGTAGCTACTGGGGAACCAATAGAAGCTCATATCCGTGCGATAATTTCAAATCCCTTCTTGCACATTGCGTACACATCCTGGAATTGCAAACAACGCAGGTCAAGGCTTGTGCGTTTAATTGTTTTTCTATAGTTATTGAAATTTGCTTGTTCCTCCCTTGTTTTGAATTATGATAATTCGTTTGTTACTTGGTCTGGCCGCATCGGTCAGAGGCCCAATACCAAAGCACACCATAACGCGAAAAAGGCCAAGACACCCCGAATAGACAAGTTCTATATAGTCTGATCGCAGGTCTTCTTGTATAAATGAACACATCCCACCATCATCTCATGCCCTTACTATGCCTGCACGCCTGCACCGGCCACGTGTCCGCAGACACGACCAACTGCAGGTCTGCAAGCTCGGCACGACAGCATGTTTATAGGCTAGCATGAACGCACGTCTTTAGGCTGGGAACAGTCACAGTTTGTGCGAATATATGTCGGCATGTACCGTATTGCAGGCGAAATGTTGACTGGTAGCGTTGTCTTTGAGTCCCATAAAAATTTCGTGTGGCATGTGTTGTGCTTTCCTCATCAGCCCACAATGTTGCAGAGTTATGGCGTTTAGCGCGGATGCATTCCCTGCCGGACGGGAGATATATCTGTAGCACCGTTGGTGAATTGATGCGGACACTCCTCGTTGCTACGCCCCAAATTCATTATTTAGGCCATCAAACGGATTCCATAAAATAAATATAAAGAGACAGGCGCTCGCGCTGTGAAATAAGGTTTGCGGAACATCTATTTGCGCCGCGTGACTCAATGGGCGCACCGTCATGTTATGTATCAGATTCAGCGCCAAGAAGTGGTCCGCAGCTGACGATAACTAACCGCGGCGTGCAATGATATATATTATATACACAATGATATATGCATATATCTATGCATATATGCCGAATGATATCTGTCCCTTCACGCTCCTTGCTTGACCCTGCACTGATTTCGCCGTCTGCCCCCCCCCCCCCCAACCAACCCCCCGCGCGCAACAATCTGCAACTTATCCGCCGTCTGCTACCGAGGGACATCCACACCCGGGAACGTTCCCACCGACCGACCAGTAGGTACAGCTTCGTGCAGCCCCACACTGTTCCCACGCGCAGGACGATGGGCGGAACAACGCGAGCGATCGGCTGATTGGTCGACACATCCAATGGCGGAAACCAGACGACAAAAAGGCTGCCTATAGACTGTTAGCCAAAAACGAATTAGAATAACCGAAACGGCTACTTCTACCAGATTACCAGATACCAGATACCAGATCACACCCAAAGTAAACAATCTGCCACAATTTGGATTATTGCCGTCAATACAGACGTTTTCACCACCGATCTAACGCAGTTGTTGATGCCTACCTAAGTCACCAAATACACGAAGGAAATGTCTCCATGATGCATGATTAAGATACATCATATATATATATATATATATATATATATATATATATATATTAGAATAACCGAAACGGCTACTTCTACCAGATTACCAGATACCAGATACCAGATCACACCGAAAGTAAACATTCTGCCACAATTTGGATTATTGCCGTCAATACAGACGTTTTATATGCATACATATATATATATATATATATATATATATATATGCATGTATATATATTCACGTACATATCCATATCTGTACATACGTATATATTTATACATAGATATTTATAATATGATGAAAATTCATTTCAATACATGAGGAAAATGGCATCCAATAGACTGGGTCAAGTTCCAGCAAATAGGAAAAACAAACCGCCAAGATGTAGTGTGAAATACAAAATCTGTACCAGAATATAGAATTTTCAGCCCGCCAGTAAAAAACGACGATATTTTAAACCAAACTGGCATGAAGTTGGGAGTGTTTTGGGATGCAGACGCCATTATTCACCTTGGAATTGAGCTATGAGAGCGACTGTCGCTGGCTACCATTGAGATTTGTATACCTACACATCCAGGGACGTAGCCAGCTGGTAGGGAAGGGGGGTGGGCACAAGGGACATATGTTCCGGCTAGGTCCTGGTTGCCTTTCGGGACCATCGGCACAAACTATTAAGGGCCCAGTTGGGGGGTACGAAGGGCTGACCGAAAGATGACCCCGCGGCGAATGCCTGACGGCCAAAGGTCAGGCAAAGGGACTCGTCGCGCCTGTCGGGGTCCCCGGGACTACAAAGACGTCTATGTAGGTCCAAGATCACCAATGCTGAGCAGTTAGCTCTGAGTCGGCCTGGAATCTGGGGTCCCATTTACGAGGCAGGGACAAGGTCAGTGCCACAGAACAGAACCAGGCCCTAAATGTCAGGGAGCCACTTGCGTTGGTCGATATCCTCTTGCCTGACATGGAATGGAAATACTAGAAATGTCAATTAAATTGTCCGCAATCAGAAAATAGAAGGGCCTAACCAGTTACGGACTTAAGGGACAGGGGCTATTCAGGGCCTCTGAATCTAATCCATTTTGTGGATTGTTCATGCCCTCGCGCCCGTAATCGGAGATTTTAGCCCTGACGTCTGGTCGGCTTACTACGCCAGATTTTAACTGACACCAATGGTGACGACTCAGCCTCCTAGCCACTGGTCCCGGACCCGCTAGCCACTGGTACCCCGGACCGGCTAGCCACCGACCGGAGAGCCGGCCGGCAGCTACCAACCTTTCAATAAAGTCGAAAATGACCATAAACAAAACGACAGAACACCGCATTAAAGGCAAAAATGACTATCGCTCTCAAACAGAAATCACTTGTCTGCCTTCCAATCGCGTACTGTATCGGTGACCCGTGGTCCCTGGTCTAACACCGCATCATCTTTTTCAGAGTTCGTGCACGATCGACGTCACCTACTTCCCGTTCGACCAGCAGACGTGCGTCATGAAGTTCGGCTCGTGGACCTTCAACGGCGACCAGGTGTCGCTCGAACTGTACGAATACAAAGAGTTCGTGGACCTCTCTGACTACTGGAAGTCTGGCACGTGGGACATCGTCGAGGTGCCCGCCTACCTCAACTACAAGAACCAGACGTCGCCCAAGGAAACAGACATCACGTTCTGGATCACGATCCGGCGCAAGACGCTCTTCTACACGGTGAACTTGATCCTGCCCACGGTGCTGATCTCGTTTCTGTGCGTGCTCGTGTTCTACCTTCCGGCTGAGGCGGGCGAGAAGGTCACCCTGGGCATCAGCATCCTGCTCTCCCTGGTCGTGTTCCTGCTGCTTGTCTCCAAGATCCTGCCGCCCACGTCGCTGGTGCTGCCCCTCATCGCCAAGTACCTGCTTTTCACCTTTGTGATGAACACCTTCAGCATCTTGGTCACGGTGGTCATCATCAACTGGAACTTTCGGGGACCGCGCACGCACCACATGCCCAACTGGGTGCGGGTCGTTTTCCTCAGGTACACGCCCATATTCTTGTTCATGAAGCGCCCCAAAAAGACGCGTTTGCGATGGATGATGGAGGGTCCGGGCGTGGCGGGCCGCGGCGACGGCGCTGTGCCCTCGTTCGGTGGCGGCGTCGGCCTGTCGTCGCAGTTCGCGCAGGCCAAGCTGGACTCGATGGAGCTGTCGGACCTGCACCACCCGAACTGCGCAGCCGGCCGGGACGCGCCGCCGCCGCAGACCGACGCGCGCCGCGACAGCGACGCCTCCGAGTCGCTCTTCCTCACGGCCGAGGCCTACAAGGCCACCGAGGCCGTCGAGTTCATCGCCGAGCACCTGCGTAACGAGAACGAGTACATCCAGGTGAGGCAGGCGGCCCGGTGTCCTGTCTGTTCGGCTCTCGTTCACGTCAATGCACTGCTTCGCACCGCAGTGCATCCGGTCCGGGCCTGGATTCGAGAAGAAGTGTCTGACCTTGAAAACGTATAATTTTCTATAATATATTCCCCGTTTAAGACACTCAAAGGAAACAGAGTGTATAAATACTCCTCCTGAATTTGTGTTCCAGTCTCTATTGTTCCTTGCGGTTGGTTCAGTTTAACTTCCAAGTGGCATATAAAATGGTCAAACGCCAGACTGAAGCCATATGCATGGCATAACGTAACAAGGAACTATATTTGGTTGCATCCTTCCTGCGGACCAGTTTAAGCCAATTCTTCACCCAAAATGCGTCTGTATTCTTCAATGCTTCAGAATCCCTATACGGGATGTATTTGAATTACCCATCTTCCAAATGCCCGTTAAATGCGCATTTATGCTTCACTTACATCCGTCCATATTAATTTCGTCAATATTTGATGAACACAACTATTTTCATCTTTTTCCTCATATTGAGCAGGACACGCAACTCTGCTTTGTATTGTTCCTTTGCATTGTCCTGAAGCGCTCCAATCTTAAGCATGATATTGTTCTGTGACGGTGCCATATCTCTCCCCATGTTTGCTGTTCTGTGCCAAGTTGTTCAGAGTTACAAGTCCGCATACGGCGTATGAGATACTCAACAAGTTTCATCTCACACTGCAATGCACGCACTGCGTCGCTTCCGCGCTGTGCCAGGTTCTTATACAGAACTCACCTAGCACTGATCTGCTGCAAAACAAATAGGCCCTTAAAACATTCGTTTGCGACCAACCACCCCGCCTTTTCCTTAGATCCGTGAGGACTGGAAGTACGTCGCGATGGTGATCGACCGCCTCCAGCTGTACCTGTTCTTCGTAGTCACCACGGCTGGAACAATCGGCATCCTTATGGATGCGCCGTACATCTTCGAGTACGTCGACCAAGACACTATCATCAAGATATACCAGGGCCGGTAGAGTGCATCTGTCATCGTCTCAAAAGCGGCAGCCGCCAGAGTCTGCGCTGATTGGCAGACCATGCGGAAGGCGTTGGCCTTTGCAACTGGACGTCGATAGATGTCGAACCAGACGAGCCGTGCTGGATATAGATGGCGCTAGCATCGGCCTGGCGCCGCCGGCGGGCAGCAGACACAACGGGTCACCGCCGCTCCTTTAAGAAACTATCCCTGGTCGGGCGCCGGTCCGAGGTGACCGTGGCATCTCACTCCTACTGAAAACAATGGAGCGTTGCCCGGCGTCCGCCTGATAGCCGGGGCGGGAGCGGTATCTCCTCCGCTCCTGGTCAGCGGCGGGTCAGGAGTCGTGTCAGGACCTCTGTCCAGTGCGGGAACGGCATCTCCTCCGCTCCTGGTCAGGTGCGGGCCAGGAAGTGTGTCCGGACCCTTGTCAGGGCGGGCCAGGAGCTGTGCCAGGACCCTTGTCAGGGCGGGTCAGGAGCTGTGCCAGGACCCCTGTCAGGGCGGGCCAGGAGCTGTGCCAGGACCCCTGTCGGGTAACGGCAGGGCTGCCGGGTCGACGTAAGGCCCACACCCGGCACCAGTGACCTGATGTGAGCCACCTCGGGTCCACCTCCGCGGACGTGGACGCCGGTGCGTTCCGTGCTGACGGGAGCAGCGGCAGCCGGGGCACGCTGCGCGATCCGTCACGGGTCCGCCTCGGCTAGAAGATCGATAGGTGTTTCGCGACAGAAAATGCTCAATTTGGCCGGTGGTCGCGGCATGCTAGAGAGCGATGTACACGTGTGCACTGGCCGTGCCTGCTGTGCTGCCTACTGCCATGTATCAGTAAGCAAGCGCTGAACGCGCACGCTAGCCGAGGGACTGTTTTGTACTGGTTTGCGGGAGCGGCGTCACATGATAAGCTCAGCCCAGCCGCCGCAGCGCGGCGAGGATGGCGCAGCGGCAAAGCTTTAGGAAATGCGGAGTGTGTTGACAGACCGCGGCCAACTGAGTGCTGTGAGTGCGTGCGAATGTTCAGCAATGCTTGCCCGCCGACGCGGTATGTCTCGCTGGAGCTGTTGTGATTTGTACGACAAAGCCCCGCTTGTTCCTATTGGTGTTCGATATTACGTGCGAGGTGAAGTTTGCATATATGCTTGCGTCTGCACCTAAACCACCCGAAAATCGGAAAAACCGCTTCGGCCATGTAAGAATAATGAACGTTTAGTTTTCAATACGACAGTTCTTTATTTGAACGCAAACGAATCCGGTTGAGTGAGCATTTTACCAATTTTAATTGCCAAGGTGGAAATCACGGGTTTGTGTTTGGTTTATCGAAACGATTGTGTCCACCACGAAACGATTGTGTGATTTCATTGGGTTAAAAAATTTAGAATAGAAACGACACTTATTATCCATGTGGCGCATTTCATTTGCAAGCGTTTCACTTCACGTTCTAGTAATCCTGCAAAGATTCGGTCCCAGCATGGGAACTGCATGATACGAATACGAGTTAGAAGAATGCACATCATGGCCGCATTTTATTCATGACGTTATGTTGTTACCGAAGACAAGGCCAAAAACCAATATATCAGTTAACGATATCTTGGGTTTGAAAGGCTGCGGTGGGGAATCAGAACCGTTTGAGGTAAAATCTAAAACGTTGTTATACCAGGCCATAAAAACTGTTGGATGTAGAGGTACATTACGCCTGTTATCTCCAACTTCGTATTTTAAGAGCATTAGAAAGTTGTGAACAATGTTTGTTTAGATCAATGCAATATAATGCAAGCGGTTAGCTGAAAAACCTCAGAAATGATCTTTTTTCAAAAACGTAAAGCCACAGTCCGAAGTGGCTGCGTATTATCCAATGACCGGCTTGTGACACACCGGTCCGGGCTAAGTGCACCAAAGATCACAAGAGTGTTCAGCTCCCAAAAACATCAGCAGAAACGCGCTAAAGTGCTTGTTTGTGCTGTCCAGTTCAACTAAAAAACGCGACCAGTGCTGGATTATGATCTCTACAAACGGCAGCCATCTGCTCACGACCGCATACGTGGGCATACTTTCGCCGTTTCATATGTAATTGAGTGTCCTGAATCGATACCGAAATCCACGCTGCCCATTACTTTATACCGCGTTCATCAGGCATCAGGCATGGTCGGATATCGACCATTGTAATGGTAATGATGACGTAATGATGACGTAATGCTGTCTGCCAAACACGACGTGGCGAAGCAAAACATGTCGTAAACACAATATAATGTTGTTTGGTTTTGTTGGTTACACCATGTCGTATTGCCTCCTAGATTTTATCAGATCGGTACAGTTTTGCTCACAACTGAAGCATTGTCTTATATCCATCTTAAACACGCGTATGTATGGTATGTGCCATCATGCTTTTTGTGGAGTCTATTTGCTTAGCAATAAATGATGCGAAATGTCTGACCGGATGTTTCCAAGATGTCAAAACCAGCGACGCACTCTTCTTCTAACTCGGTCAGCCCCGCAACACAAATAACTGCACACGCATACCCATACAAAAGTACCACACAGACCTGTGCTTGACTTGATTTCAAGTCGAATCGATTCTGTCAAGATTTGTTCAATGCAAGCAGCAGATTGCGGGTTCGAATCGGAGCAACGCAGCACAATTTGCAGTCGACTACGATTCCGAATAAGGAACGATGCTCTATTTGTATATTGATTTTGGTGGGATCGATACTTTGGACGGCGGTTCAGGAAATTGGCCACTTTATGGACTTCATAAAAGCCCATACAAGACATGCATTTTGATAGAATGCCACCTGCGTGTTACTGTGGACGTTTGAGTCAGCATGCTCGCTGTCACAATATCAACCCTCGATATGGCTCCCTGGCGTTTCCAGCACAATTAAGTTACAGCTTAGTGAAAAACACCAGTGGATTCGTCTTAAAAGTATCTCGCGATTGGCATCATGTTGTATGTTTTCAGGTTAACAATTGACCCCATTACGCCAAGGCAAAAGTCAAATTTTCCAGAAAATCGCACTGTTCAGCTTTACATCTTACATACGAGATCATACCTTATGGCGACACGAAACCTAAACAGGCGCACTCTTTGTTCTTCTTTGAGTACAATGGTTTTTATGTTGATGTATTTTGAGCATTTGTTTATGATATATGGCTCCACTAATGTAACGATGTGAGTCCGGCGCGCGCGTTCCGCGGCACCGTCGGTCTCCGCCTACCCGCCCGCTCGCCCGCTCGCTCAGGCCGTAGATCACCGTGCAGTGCTCCACAAAAACTGCCGCTGCTCCAACACCATAAAAGCTAAGAACACGCTATTGGTGTCATAACACGAGCAATGAGTGTTCCATAGAAAGTTGGTCGCGATTGCGTACCATGCAGGAGTGGTATCTTTAAAAACCGGGGTGAGGGAGGGATCGTATCGACTCCCTAGTAGGACGACGGTTAAAGGGGTGATACCCATCTTTCATCTTGGAATATTGAACATTTACTTAAAGACATGCTGTTACTTACATTGGTTGAGTCATATCAGCAACGAATCAGCTAAAAATTCCGGCCTCAACCCACAGGAAAACTCCAAAGAAACAGACTTCACGATCACTTTTATACTGCAACCACAATGAGCTTTAATGTAGTTATCATTGCTCTGTTTCGCATTGTTCTCCCGATACCGTGGAATATGTTTGAAGCGAAGAGTAGTGCCAGTGGAGGTAGAACCTGGTTGATTATGTCCATTTACCGGTAGGTGCACTTCGCTAAACTGAAGGTCGACTATATTCAGAATAAGAAGTGCCAACTCATATCAACGAATATCTTGTTCATTTCAGTGCACATTTTGAGTCCACCCACAGTCGAAACGCACGATGGAGGTCATACACGTGTTTCTGTTACATACGCGAACCTTCCCTTTTGAAATGCACGGATGCCTCATAATCCCTCTGCACGTAGGACTGCAACTACAGACAAAGCTCGCGCCGCTGCCAGTCACAGCTGGTGTGACCGATGCCATTGGAGCTGGTGGGAAAGCTGGTAGCCGCGATACGGTCATCTTTTAAGCGGTGATTCCAGCCGTCTGGAGTCGCCACTCTGAACCGACACGGGTGGGGGGCGACAACTGGTGGTAGTATGGGCGCGGGACGAGCCGGCCGGCAGCCGGCTGGGTGGTGCCCGGGATCAGCCAGCCAGGGGTGCTGTTCCGCCTGCGGGACGAGCCGGCCGGCAGCCGGCTGGATGGTGCCCGGGATCAGCCAGCCAGGGGTGCCGCTCCGCCTGCGGGACGGGCCGGCCGGCAGCCGGCTGGATGGTGCCCGGGATCAGCCAGCCAGGGGTGCCGCTCCGCCTGCGGGACGGGCCGGCCGACAGCCGGCTGGATGGTGCCCGGGATCAGCCAGCCAGGGGTGCCGCTCCGCCTGCGGGACGGGCCGGCCGACAGCCGGCTGGATGGCGCCCGGGATCGCCCAGCCAGGGGTGCCGCTCCGCACCGCTCCACCTGCCTATGATCTCGTCCGCGCAGTGCCAGTGTGAACCAAGTCTCCACTTTTCTATCGACGGTAGCCGACAAACAACTCAACAGCGTTTTCGAAAATCAGGAGGTCTAACAAATCAAAGATGCTATCAACTTGGAAATCAAGTTTTTTATTAGCAAAACAGGACAGTCCAATCCTGATACAAGTAATTTAACTCACCTTTCTATTGTCAGCTAGGGCATTGTATGGACTATGTCACGCTGTTTTTTGAAAGAAAATACGTGCTATGATTGCGGAGTCATGACGTTTTACATAGCGCATTTCCGTCGTTGCCTCATGCTCTGCAGTCATCATCAACGAAAAGCGGCTAGGTGTGGAGGTTACCTCAGAATCGTGGTCGGAGCACAAAATAACCCGCCATAGCAAATGTTGTCCAGATATGCAGTGGTCGCATGCAAAATTCAACTATTACTGGTTTAGTTGGCGTGGAATGGCCCCAATGCCATTTGCCTATGACACAACTGCACAATCCGCCCTTTCACGGCCAACGCGGCAGATAAAGCAGCACGCGCACAAGCTTCACGGGTATGACTCCTAACATTCATGGTTTGTTTAATTGAGCTTAGTGCTGTTAGTTGTCGTTATCAGTTGTAATTTGTAGTCGTGATAGAAATCTGTCATGGGTCAACTGACGTCAAAGGGGTCAGATCAGGCCTGAAGCAGCGAGAGATGTCTCAGGTCTCATCGAACGAATATGCGTATTTGATAGCGCTACCAAATACGTGTGTTTGTTGTTCTTACCACAAGGACGCTCGATGGCGTCATTGAGGCTACAAGGAACAGTCATGGTAACAAGTTGCGAAGCAAGGTTTTTGGGTGGACTTGCTGCATGTGCAGTTTTTATACTGATTCAACTGCTCCCGGTTTGTAGCGTCAATCACATTCTCTTGCTACGCATTCGCCGTAGTGACAAAGGTAGATGACTACCTGGTAATATCAAAGGCCTTGGCTCAGATAAGCACTTCAGCGCCCTCTCCTGTTATCTCAAGACCCAGGCATGTTACGACTATGCAGATGATAGCATTGAATAGTTCTTTAAAATCAATAGCCAACAGATGTTAAGTGTGACGTGCCACATCACATCGAAAAGTAGAGGCTATTGGTGCATTAGCCATTCGGGCTGCATTAAGAACTAAACGTGCCACGCCAATGAGGGAAAATCATCAGAAAGGCCTTTCAATTCTGTAAGATACAGGCCATTGAGGTTCCGACCGTATGGTAAAGTTTGAACTGCTTTGGCCAAGGATGATCGCATAGTTCAAAAACAACCAGGATGGTAATAATACACTTCAGAGTGATATGGGTGGGAAGAAAGAACAAAAACGTAGAAACTTCTTTGGAGACCGATACCTTTGAGAAGAATGATTGTTTACAACTTTTGAGCCAGACGCTACCTTCACCTAACTCCTTGCTTAGCTCCTCACCTAACTCCTCTCCTAACTCCTCGCTTATTGAAGGTCGATGATTTTCGGTAAAGGAACTTACGTCAAAAGCCTGGAGAGTCCATGCCTTTCCTGCTGAACTTGGACTGAACTTGGACTGGACTGAACTGAACTTGAACTGAGCTTCCTGTCACAACTTGGACTGCCAACTTTTATCTGATGATTTTTCATGCAAATGAGCACAACTATATCATTATGTCGTTAAAAACCCTCACTTGCACTGCCTGGAGCTGACCATAGCCTTGGTTTCGAACTTATGTGCTGAATATACGAATGTCTTTCAAGTTAACCCACATTGGTGCTATGTAACTTGATGTTCGAATATACAAATGGTGGCCTACCAAATACATCCACAAATTTACGAGTTCTTGCCCTCTAAAACTACAATTTTAAAGCATGTTCTTTTTCGGGCATAAAAATGAAGGTCACGTTGAGTTCAATCCAATGACAATTTTCAAATTCAGAGCGGTGATTCTCGGGATGTCTAGTGGGGAAGGTTCTGCCTTGCCTCTAATGTTCACGTAAATCCGAAGGCCCGCAGAGAACAAGGTGTTTAGCCTGCTGCAAATGTCTGACAATTTACGTGCCACATTGTCGTAAGAACTGTCCCTGTTGCTGAAGCTGCATGATCTTGACACTAGTGACTGCAAAATGACTAGTTTTAAGAGTGTGGCTGGGTGGACTAGAAAGCATGACAACATTACTGGAAACGTTACACGCACTGGTCTGCGCCAGGCCGCTCAAACTCCGAGCTAAGCCTGTTATCACAGCTCAGACAATCCTCATTCGGCCCGCGGCCTCGCCCATTATCATCTCAGCATAGATGGCCGTTATCACGGCTCAGACAAAGCTCACTCGGCCCGCGCCCTCGCCCATTACCATCTCAGCATAGATGGCCGTTATCACGGCTCAGACAAAGCTCATTCGGCCCGCGGCCTCGCCCATTATCATCTCAGCATAGATGGCCGTTATCACGGCTCAGACAAAGCTCATTCGGCCCGCGGCCTCGCCCATTATCATCTCAGCATAGATGGCCGTTATCACGGCTCAGACAAAGCTCATTCGGCCCGCGCCCTCGCCCATCATCACCTGAGCATAGATGACCGTTACATTAGTGATTAACCTCCAGTAGCTTACAAGATCCGAGGGTAGGACGGCTATCACACCGTTGCCACAAGGAGTTCGGAAATACTCACGCTCGGTGGTTGTATTCGTTTTCCAGATTAAGCTTTCGGTCAGCCTTAGTTTCGGCGAAATCAGCGAAGATGAACTTGCGAGTTCTAAGCGTTGAAAACACAACTGTGGAACGAACAACATGGACAGTGACCGCCACAAACCGCCGCTGCCGATATATCTGACAGGTCACAAACAACCTACACCACTCAAGTACGTTTTACGACAGCCAATGTTCTCTCTAGCTGATGGATGGCCTTTGGTGCTTGCTTGCCCTCGGCAGCCGACGTGCTAGTGTCTTCGTGTGCTGTTAACACGTTCACAAGTACCGAGGTCATATGAGAAACAAATCGGGAGATTATTTATGCTTAATTGTGACGTTCCTTTCTTCGAGTTCAATCGATCGCCAGATTTGATACGGTCTAAAAAACGATTATGATCTCCTCTTTTTTCTTGCGCAACATTCAGAAGAAAATCCTCATTATTCATAAAACCATGGACATTCAAAGTCTAAGAACAATGCTGATATACTCGGAAGAACGGTCACTGAAATGAGCCCAACTATACCTCCTAGCATGAAAGCGACAAGGCTCGGTATAAATATCTGACAAGTACGCCACCGGCAGGTCTCATGATCAATATCAAAACAGGGCTGCACAGACCGCGATAAACATGTGCTATCGCGCGCCTGCGTCGCGTCGTAAAACGCGCTCCAGCCTATGTCATTGTCTGAATCGATATGAATGGAAACAAAGCATCACAGAAGGCAAGGATTCCAGCAAAGGGCGGCGCGGCTCCGACACAGCGTCTCAGCTGGTGAATACCGATGAAGAATCACAGAAACACGCTGGTCTAGACATGGGGAGCAGGCTTGCACGGGCTAGCGCGCCCGCTCCTCGAACTGCTCGAGCGCACGAGACTCTACTGCCTTACACCCCACTGTAATTTGGCTCCGACGTGGTGAGGCCGGGGATCACTCGCACCCGACTACCCGTAATGCTAAAAATACCGACTCGACTGGCCTGGCCGGGAAGAAGGGCAGAGATGGAGACGGGATGGCTGGAGCTACAGGGTAACAAGACGGGATCGAGTATTGCCGTCAGTATTGTCAGGTGGCGATGACGGCCGGCGCGCCGCCGGCCTTGAGCAGACAGCACTGTCGGCGAGGCGCGCGTCCGCTGTCGCCTAACAGCGTCACGCTGTCGTCACGCTGACGTCACGCTGACGTCACGCTGACGTGTCGCAGCGCGCGCTGACGTCACGGCACGATGATGTGCGGCGCCGACAGCAGCACGGCCACCGTCGCCACCACAGTGAACAGCGTGAACACGATCAAGCACAGGCGGTCTACCACCATGGCGGCGAACTTCCAGTCGCTGGTGACGACCGCCTCGTCGTCCTCCTGGCGCAGCCGGTCGGTGACGGTGCGCAGCTCGCGCAGGATCAGGTGCAGCTCACGCGCACAGCCTGCCATGCAGCCGGGCGCTGCCAGGTCGTCGACCGACTGGCCGGGCGGCAGCCGCGTGTAGGCGGCGCTGTTGGCGGCCAGCGAGAGCGGCGCCGGCGCCAGGCCCCGAAAGTCGTCATCCATGTCCAACACGTTGGCCAGGAGCGACTTAGAGGAGCGCTCTTTCAGCTCCAGCTCCTTCATCTTGTTGTTCATGATGATGTTCTTGCGCGTGATCTTTTCGCCCGGCCGCGACATGCGCAGCAGCCACGGCATCCACTGCAGGAACACGCTCCGCACCTGGTGGCGACGCCACGGACCGGGTCAGGAGGGAGCAGCGGCAGGCCAGTCGTAGGGGTCCGGTTCCACAGTAAGTGTTGTTGGAGTCCAGACTCAGGTTGACTGGGAGCCCGCCCACTGTGATGATAACTGATATGGACAAAGCACACGCAAATGTGCAGTCTCCCCCAAAGCTGACGGGATGTTCGCCTCACAGACCCTAGCGGTGTCTGCACTCAGGAGCGAGCGTGCCGCCCAGCCGCCTGTCAGGTCGGCGCCAAACTAACCTCTGTAAGCGTAGCTATACGACGGCACTGCACGGAAAGCACGACAGCCAATGAGCTTGACTGACGATGAAAACAAGACAGCTACCACCTCAAACTATGGGAGCTCCCCGAACCCAATTTGTTGTTGTGACCATTGGGGACTTCACGACGCACTCAGATGCTGAGGCTTAATGGTGTCGCGTGTCTTTCACCCTGGTAGGAAGGCCGGACACCACAAGGAATCAGACCCTGTACCTCTGACTCTCCAAACACGTAGCAGAAACTTAACACACGTGCGGGTGGCCGGCTAGATACCCTTCACTCATGTGGGTGGGTGGGGGGGGGGGGGGGGCAATTTGACCCTCATGAGATCTCGGGAACTAAAAAAGCTAGAAACACCAAATTTGCAGGGTGTATTGAACTGTACGTGACCTCACTTAGGGAAAAGTTTAAGGTCCCTAGGTGATGAACTTCGGGTTAAAGAAGATCAAACAAGGTCAAATTTCAGGTTGGTCTCCAAAGTGCCCCAGAACCTAGTTAACTGTTTCTAAGCAAAAGGTCACATCATCATCTAAGGTCAAAGACCTTGTTTGACCTTTTAAAGGTCATGGTGACCAAAATCATGCAAGACTGCCCTGAGTTTTACGTTTAAATAAGCGACAGGCAGCGCTACGCAACATGTCCAAAAACAAAATGTTGACTTGCGCTGTACTAGGTCAATGACCTATGGTAGCCTTCAAAAAGCTCCTGGAGGATGTATAAAGCGGTTCCTGCTATCAATAAATTTGAAATGAGCACCAGGAGCTCTCCTATACAGCAAGCCCTTGAGAATAAAACAGGTTGGTTTCGACCTTGGTCTGACCTTCATATCTGACCTTAGCTCCGCACAATTTGCTCATTCAATATTTTTGTTTCCTAGGAAAGCATCGGAACTCATTTTGGAAAAACTTTCGGAGGGGGGATCAGTTTGACCCCCTACCTGAGCGCGTGTTAATTTAACATTTATGTGCGCGAAACCGTCTGAAATCTGTATTTACCAAAGTGAACAAGAATCCTACATTTCAGACAGCTAGATTGAAATAGAAATGGAGCCCTCTGAAAGAAAAGCTCCCTGCAAGTTTCAAAGAGGTGGATCGCGGAGCAAACCGATACCACATAATGACCAGTGGTACAAAACGCAGAACCGTAGGTACAGGGTGTGCGTGTGTCACTGCTGGGCTTATAGCATGGTGGCATGGGTACCCGAGTAAGGAAAGTGTGTGTGTGTGTGTGTTTTTTAACTTACCCAGGGTGCCATTTCGTGGGTCTCGCCAGACCGATGATGGTAATTCAGGATGAGAACAGTGCTCACCACCGATGACGCCACCATGAACATTATGCAGTTAAAGTACGTCCCTAGCAACACAGATGGCGTTAGCAGCACGAAATGATGGTTTCCGGGTGGGGCATGAAGACAACTGAAATACCCCACGCAGTCATTCACGTGCCATGTTTTCTTGCTTGGATACTGTTTAAATTCATTTGCTACTCAAAAATACCCCACATTTATGCTACCCATTCCCCATTCATATGCGTTCACAATGTAAGTGCAGAGGCCAAGAAATCCCTATGTGTTGCAATGCAAACTACCAATAGGATGGACGCTAATCTGTTGCGCTTGCCGATAGCGGAGAGCCAGTCTGCTGTCAGAGGAGTGAGCCGTAACAAGGTTTTGCTTTTATGTCAGAAAATCGATACCCTATATCAGCTAGAAGTTTGCATCCCCATGAGTGAACCGTAGTTTTGTCCCGGCGTACGAGGCAGTGCCAACATGAGGGCATTTTTCTGTTGCGATGTGCTGTAGACGTATTTTGCCTTGTCGTAATCAACGAAAGGATTAGAATTTCCCCTATGCTTGACCATGGGGCACGGGATCAGAAATGTGCCGTGAGGTATGCTGTTCCAAGTAGGATGTTGGGGCTTGCTGTTACTGTGAGAGGCATCCTAACCACCCTGCGGCAAGCAACAGCATGTTTTCACACCTTTAACCAACTCCTCTGAGTGGCTGCAGGACACTTTCCGTCTCTAAGCCTTGAAGAGCACAGGTACGAAACTTTGCCCGAAACTTTGAAACTGGTCCCTGAATAAGTAGAGGCAGACGATGACGCATCGTTTTCCAAATTGTTTCCTTTTTCTTTGAAACCCACTGCGATTACAGTAGCTATGACAGAGTCGGACGCCAAGCCGGAGCCCTGTGACGAGCTCCAACAAAGAGACGCCTGCTCACGTACAGTTGCACAACGCAGCTATTGCTGCAATTACTATCTCAGCGAATTATCAATGGTCGCAACGGCTAGCAGAAGATCATGTGCGGAATACTTTATCCTTCATTCACTGTTGAGCACATTCCAATTCATAACCGCAGTGCATGGGCCTGACCTGTGGACCCTGCATGGACCTGACCTGCGGACCCCGCATGGACCTGACCTATGGACCCCCCATGGACCTGACCTGTGGACTGCGTATGGATCTGACCTATGGGCCTCGCATGGACCTAACCTGTGGACTACGTATGGACCTGACCTATGGACCCGCATGGATATGACCTGTGGACCCCGCACGCACCTGACCTGTGGACCCCGCGAGGACCTGACCTGTGGACCCCGCGAGGGCCTGACCTGTGGACCCCGCGTGGACTTGTGGACTGCCCGGGTATATGCACGCTAGGCAGGCTTTTCTTTGCGGATAATACCCCCCATTTTTTGTTATTACAGAAACATGCAAGATGACACAAAGACAGCACCAAGAAAACATGGCACGTTTGAGATGAGCACTGAGTGAGGGCACAAAGAATTCACGTATTGCCCGTTAAATGTGAAGAAATCATCGTCATACTTGTATTATGAATTCAAGCGAATATATCTGACGAAGTGAAGAGAAAGTACACGCAGTTTGGGCTCAAGAAGTAACAGTGGATATAGCAATGGCGTTTTATGGGAAGAGCGACAGGGTTAAATATGCATGCTTCAAACATCTGAATGACATGAGCCATGCATTAGCAGTAGGCTTGTCATCTTATATCTATTTTTAGCTCGAATATTAACATTTTAAAGGAATACGTGTAAACGCATTCCCTTTATTTAGATCTCCGGTTTAATGCATGCATATTTTAAGCACCGTTTAACATAGATAACCATCTTAAAAAGGGATCTCTCAACTGGCAACAAACATTAAGAAGTGACTGTAAAAGTTCCATAAATGAACATTGCTGTAGTAATGGAAGAGTTTTGACGCGGTAGAGGGGACACCACAGGACTGTAGGATTGTATAGTGACTGGCTTACTAGAGCCATGTCCCCATTGTCTTATCACCCAGACCGGTTCGGGTTCACGTTAGTCCGCCACGTTTAAGCTAGCCACAAGTGCGCACGCGCTAGTGTGACATCCGTCGCTCCGATACTGGACATTTGTGGCAGGGTTGTCCATGTAGCGGGGGCTTCTTGCCGATTGGCAAGAAGCATGTGATTATTAAAGAAACCGCCGCTGTTCATGCGGCGACACAGAGAGAGAGAGAGAGAGAGAGAGAGGGAGAGAGAGAGAGAGAGAGAGAGAGAGAGAGAGAGAGAGAGAGAGAGAGAGAGAGAGAGAGAGAGAGAGAGAGAGAGAGAGAGAGAGAGAGAGAGAGAGAGAGAGAGAGAGAGAGAGAGAGAGAGAGAGAGAGAGAGAGAGAGAGAGAGAGAGAGAGAGAGAGAGAGAGAGAGAGAGGGGGGGGGGGGGAAATAGAGAAGAGCCCAGAGAGGCAGAGAGAAACAGGGAGTGAGCAGAAAGAGGAGAGCAGGGAGAGATAAGGAGAGATACAGAGAAACAGAGGTACGAAAGCGAGAGGGAGAGGAGAGAGAATACGAAAGCGATGAAGGGGGGGGAAGGGGGAGGGTAAGCAGGGGAAGGTTGGCGGCGCACTTGTGACCAGCTGTTTTAGTTTTATGCGCACATCAGATACATTGCCTGTTACCGGACAGTGATCCACTCATCTACAGCTACAGGGGAAGCGCAAAAGCAGCCGCGGGCAGCCGCGGCTGAGGGACGCGCAGGCGGATCCGGCCATGCTTCCATGCAACATGAAGCTGGGCATGGCACAAATAGAGCATGCATTATGGATTACGCGGACTAGCAGCCGAAATACGTGATCCGTGCCCTACTGGACACGAGGCGGCTGAGTTTGCTGTGCAGTGGGCCGCGCGCGTTGCAGAACTTTGTGAGTTTCGGTTTGGCATTTGCAGCGGGATGTAGGCATCGCGAACATATGAGGGCCGACCCCGAGGTACCGGCATTCAGTGCAAACTGTCCGGCACGGACCGTGAGGCGGTTCATCTCCGAGGTCGTAAGGTTTCTCTGAAGACGAGCTGGATTGGGATGTAAAGATCCAAGTTCGGTCGCGGGCCCGCCGGCCTGACTGAGTTATGGACAATGGCTGGTCTGGCGTCTGGTGGCTGAGCTGACGCTGAGGGTGTCGTGTGGAGCGACTTGTCAAGTCTGCTCTGGTCCGGAGACAAGCGTCCAAGGCCAACTCGGACCGGGAGATGGACCCTCCCAAACCACCATAGGCCAGCGGACGGCTTCCTCCCCAAACCGGCTCAGACCAAGATATGGGACTTCCGTAAAGCACCTCCGCCTCCGAAGTGAATAAATGGCGCATGGTCAGCGCAATTTTGCCTCGTGAGCCAAGTCGTGCTGGTAGGAGACATTGCCTGCCGCCGTCAAACACGTGGCTCTTCCGCCCACTCGGAGCGAAAGCCTTTCGTCCTGGCTTGGGGATGTCCAGCCAGACGAGACACGCCTACGGCCGGAGAACCGGCTCGCCTCCCAGCGCGACGGCCGGCCTCATCTCCGTGATCTCAGTTATTTAAGGAGTTTCAGAAGCAGACATTCGCTATTCGCCGCTTGATTTGCGGCTGAAGCGCGCGCATATTCCGGATACGAACTTCGGCCGAGCGAAATGAGGCTCCTATTGGTTGGCGGAGTTTCGTGCGGCTGTTATTCGGCTGCGCAACAGAATCTGACCAGGCGACCGGATGGAAGGCATGGGTCACGGCATGTTAGAGATGATCACCAAAATAGTGGTGGAGCAGTTCAACGAGGAGGACACGTCTTCATTTCTGTTTGTTTCTAAGAGGCTAAAACGTCATATTCGCGCAATCTGTCGTGCAATTTCTTTTGCGCATCCTTTGTTAGTGCATCGTAATGCAGACTTATATTACGCCGAAGATTAAATGTGCCGAAGCATACCCGCATCGGCGCTTGCCAGTTCAGACAACATCTACAGAATATGTCCCGACTCTGAACTTTAAAGCGTGAGCAAACAACAGTGGAACGCTCCAGGCGTGTTGGGATCGAACGGCCAACTAAAAAATCGGTGTTTTGGTTCAGTGCCTCAAAAGCTGGGTAAACTCAGCGCTTCTAAGCCAGTTTAAATTCCCCAATCTTTCATTATTTAATGCATAACAACCCTACGACGTTTTCGCTTCAGCACAGAGCTCCTTGGACGATAAAAGCAGTGTTCACTCAACTACTCAACTGCTTGGGTTACAAAATATACGTTTACCTTCATTCGCGTTGCTTTTCAATGATTAACACAAGACAAAAGTTTGGTCGCAAGCTTACCCGAAACCCATCAGAAACCTAGACTAGAGTGCTGGCAAATGCAAACAGGTGAGTAAAGGGTGGGTGGAACTGATAAGCATGGGTAGTGTATGGGCTCAGCGCCATGGGTAGTGAGTGGACATGGGCACAGCTCCATGGGTAGCGTATGGATATGAGCACAGCTACATGGGTAGGGTGTGGATATGGGCACAGCACCATGGGTAGGGTGTGGATTGGGTAAAGATTACTTTGCCCGTGAGCACCTCTAGATGACAGTTTTTTCTAGGATGGTAGCATTTCTGATGCCACCTTCAAGCATCGCAGTGCAGTTGGCCACCACGTCACAGCAAGATCAACTGAATACAAGGTGCCAAAAGTGACGATATTGCCGTTCTTATTGTGTTAGGGTTAAATATGCAAATCAGACAATTTTTTGCCTGGTTCAAGAAGCATGAATTTTCGCAACACTTGTGATGAGCCTGTGCCGATGAACAAGTCCAACGTTTTGTTTTCAAGGAAAATGGTTCATCAAGTTCCTCAAGATAGCCATGCAAAAAGCATTTTGTGCTGAGCGAGTGGCTGGTAGAAGGACCAGTGTCGCGTGGTATTCAGTATGTCATCCCATGACCGAATTGCGTTTCATCAGTATTATGCCATCATTCTGTACACATCAGAGAGCTGTAGCAGCTAGCCAGAGTAGGCTTAATTATGCATGCCTCGAACGCAGCTCAAAACCTGCGTTCTGCGTCTGCATGCATTCTGTTAGTTCTTTTATCGGTTTATTTCAATGAAATTTGCTCGGTATACTGTTCATAGCAGACGACTCTGAGTCAAAGCAAGGCCATTTTTAGTCGATAATCAGGCCGAATCAAAATTCTGGGTAAACAATTATTTTATCCCACTGAAGTGACTTAAGCGTTTCGGCTCATCTATTAACAACTCTCCACATCAGTGGCATACAGGTCATTTTGGAACAGTTGTGCCGATATTTGTAGCCATCTAGTTATCGCTAAGATGTTTACCTTTGGGAATTATATCACATTACCCATATTCGTTGCCTGCTGAACACGCACACATGTCGAAATCCGTTCAACATGAAATGGACTTCATCTACGATCTTAATGAAACAGTCTAAAATGCTTGCAATTCGATCCAATTAAAATCTCCAACGACCACTCACCTTCTTGAGATTACATTTAAATTTGACTTATCCCGTGTAACTCGACAAACCAGGGAGACGCTCATTTCTGGAGTGAGCTCTCTTATATGAAGGGTGCTAGCAAGGAAAAACGCAGCAAGTTGTTAAAAAGCAAAATCGCCATCAAAACACGATGGCCAGGGCTACCTTGGGAGCGCATCCAAAGAAAATGGGTCCGACGTGGTTTCTCTCCGTTGCTCTTGGATACATAAATTTGGAGCCAATCTCAGTCCCTCTTCAGGCAAGTTCGTGGCATTGTGTGCCAGCCGGGGTAAATTTATAGCGCTGCAAGAGTACGAGATGATTCTGTCACATCGGAACATAAGTCAGAGTTTCGGGAAATATCGCGGTAAAATATGGCCGGATAAGCGACAGCGAGACACGAGCGCTCCGCGGAACTCGTTTGGAGATGCAGGCGGGATGCATGGTGGGCCCCAGCGTCCCCGGGGCCCTGGGTAGGCATGTCCTTCCATACCGGGAGTTAATCTCGGCAAAATATGCTTCCCCCTAAACGCATTATTGCTAAGGAACGAATAAGGTCACATGTGGGCGGGTGTTTTCCTGTAGTGTGGAGGCGGGGACACTTGGCGCCGTGTTTGGTAGGCGTGCGTTCGGGGTGGAACGCGTCCTGAGCATGGCAGCTGGTATGATGTAGTCAAGCCAGGTGCGGGTGGCATTCTCACCATCGCATGCAGGCGACCGTTCTGCTGCCCTACGACCGGTCTAGCGTCCGAGCACGCTGAGCGAGGCGGCGGTTACCACAAACGAAACGACAGAGAGCGGGGGATTACTGCTCCTGCAAAACGAGACGGCTCAGGTCAGGCCCGCCCTCCTGCGATTGCCGGTCCGGCCGCTTTGGAATGAGACAGTGCAACACGACTGGAGAAGACATGCAGTGACCAGGGCGAAAGCTAAAATGATGCACAACTGCACGCTCGGTCTAAGGGACAGAGTAGAAGGGCGGGGCACTGCGAGTAGAGCAGAGGTCGTGGTGAGCGTTGCACAGTGAGATCACATCGATGTATCTACAGCAGGGTGACACCTGGCCACAGCGAGTTCAGCAGCACCACTGCGACAGACAGGTGCGCACACGTCGCGCACGCCGCGCGGGGCGGCGCAGGCTCTCTACCTAATACAGGCATTGCATCTGACACTTGCGGGAGAGTCTCAGCGACTAGATTGTGGAACACGGTCAGGGAAAGTAGAATCGTGACTCCTGAAATCACAAAGAAACACAGTGTAGACGACTAGTGAAGGCCAGTGCGTATCACTGTGCGTCATACCTCCCTTCGCCGAGGAATTTTGAGCGAGAATTTTGTGGTGTCCCCTCTGGCGCAATAAAGGTTTGTGTCAGGGCTGTCTACAGAGGTTTTTACCTATAAGTGGGACAGCGTCGGATGTAGTGGGCATACTCTCGGCCACCATATTTAGAAAGACAGTGAGCGATAGTAAAATGGTAACACCTAAAACAGGAAAGGAAACAGTGAGTGGAAGCACTGGCGTGGAGCGGAGGATGAGACGGGCGGGCGGCTCCGCGCAGGCCCTGGCCTCGAGACACCACTCTGAAAGAGAAGCCACTGGCGGGTGAGAGACGAGTGCGAGACGACCTGGCCGGCACGGGCGGGACAGAAGCCAAGGCGACGCCGGGGAGGACACACCGAGTAGAGCGTGCAAACGTATACAGGAACGGAAAGCGGACAGCAAAGCAGGCACGAATTTAGGTAGCGTGATTTATTTCACCGGGGGTGGGCGTGAAATCAGTTTTTGGTGATTTATTTGACGGCAATTAGCACATCGATTCGAGCAGAGTCTAGCGCGGTGAGTGATCGGTCGGAGCCCTGAATGCTGGACGAGCTCCGCCCCACCTAGTAGGGGCAGTGGGTTTAGTAGGTTTAGTAGGTTACCTAGTAGGGGCACAGCCTCAGAGGTCTCTGGCATATTTGCAGCGACTTGGTTCAGAAATACTGTCAGAGATAGTAGCACTGTGACGCCTGGCGGGAGAGAAGACGGTTATCTGCCTGGTGGTGCCCGGCTCCCAGCTCAAACAGAGCACCTGGCGAGAGGCCGGAGGCGGCACTGGCACAAGCAGCGAGGTGCGAGCGAACCAAACGCGGCCCCGAGCGGCCAGAAGCGTCACAAGCGGCCACCGGCGAGCGAACCAAACGCGGCCCCGAGCGGCCTGAAGCGTCACAAGCGGCCACCGGCGAGCGAACTAAGCAGAAACGGCCGACCGAGCCAAGGGAGCCAAACCCAAAGAACAGGTGACAGCCTAGGCGAAGAGCGGACGTACAAAAGCGGTGGTTGTGGGGGTAGGGGAGGGGGAACGCGTGCGGTACACTAGCGGACATGGGCGGTTTGTGGCGGTGTCGGGGGGGGGGGGGGGAGGGTGAACATGTCTAACACAGGGTCTGAACGGGATCAGCGTCAGTTCCCGGCCTGGAACACGTGAATACATTCCAGTGTTAGCCAAGGAACGCACGCAATGAGTGACAGGCTGAAGTGGTGTTCATCTCAACGACCGATAGTAGCACTTCAGAGAAGAGCATATTTTCATACGCATTGATATATGCATCAGAGAGAGAGACTGCACCCCAGGCATGCACGCAGTGGTTACCTGATGATATCCAGGGTCAGGTGAGAGGAAGGCTCCCAGGTATGACATTGAGTAGCGGTGTGCCACAACTGGCAGACGAAACAGCCGCCTCGGCGATGGAGGTATAACGTCCACAGATGCAGAAAACACAAACTCAAAGACCGTTTAAGTGACCTCCTGTGCTCATGTTTGAGTTGAGTTATGCATAGGTCAAAATGCACACCCGTTACTTGAGCGTTTATGTACTATATGCGCAAAGTGCGCATGCTAGCAATGACCTTTGGTCAGTAAATGCAATACAATCGTTGCGAATATGTTATGGTTTTGAGAAGCGTTTGTAACTACGTTAACCTCATGGTCAGCTCCGGCCAGCTCATATATGTCTCATCTCCATTTTCAGGGTTATTGGAATGCTTAAACATGGACGGGGTGCCTCGTTGCTGATGCCATGTATATTTTAATGTGCTGCTAAATGACTATCTTAGAGCAGCCCACACGACAACAAACACAATCAGAGTCAACAGCAACGAGAGCCGTGTGATGGCTGAAGAGCTATGTTCATATGACGAGTTATCCCTCACATTGCGCGGGTGAATCAATTCAAACGGAGCCTGAATTATCGGCCGCTTTTAATGGCCGTGCCACGATTTGCTCGGCTTCGCCCGGTTCACCCGGAGGAGCGAGTGGTGCGTCCGGACCACGCGGCCGCGTGTCCTACACATCGCGGGCGCTGCCGGCCGCTGCCTCCGCGGAACGTCAATAGCTGCGAGCCGAGAGCCGACCGTAACGAGCTGAGCTGGCCGGGCCGACCATGAGCGCAAGCCGGGCGCGGCGCGCCAGCGACAGAGCAGCTGACGCCGCGGCGAGGAGCCGGCGGGCCGCCGGTGGGGCCGGCGCAGCCCCCCACCTGCCTACCTAGAGTCAGCTTCTCCCCGGAGTCCGGCGGCAGGGTAAAGGCCAGCAGCACCATGGTGGATATGAGGATGCCGGGCAGGACCAGGTTGTGCAGGTAATAGAGCGTGCGCCGCCGGATCTGGACAGTGTACGTGATGTCGATGTAGGTCTCAGGACAACAGGCGTACGAGATCTCATTGCGCTGGCCTGGGATCCCTGCAACATCCGCACCCGTGAACATGCGGCTCATACACAGCGCGTCCACCGGCAAGATGTCAGAGCGCCTTTCATGAGATCGGGGTGGCCGCCGCATGCGGGTCAAGATGAACCCAATTTGGCTCGAAAATTCGGCGGACATCGCACCGAGAGCACTGGGCGGTGCGGGCCGTCTGGCGCTGCTACTGAGAGCCGTCGTGTCCCAGGCGCTGTGACATCCTCCGGCAACGTCACCTCTGAGATCCTCCGGGGTTGTCATTTCTGACATCCTCCGAGGAGCGAGCAACACACTGCTGGCGCGGCAGGCGGCTGTTTACCTAGGCTGAGCTTTTCACCGCTGTCCGGCGGCAGCGTGAACCCCAGCACTGCCATTGAGGCGATGAGCACGCACGGCACTATCAGATTGGAGAAATAGTACAACGTCCGTCTTCTGATCAATATTTTATACGTTATATCGATATACGGCTGAGGGCAACAGGCGTAACTAAGCTCGTTACGCTGTCCAGGTACACCTAAAACAGAGAACAGGTAACAGACAGGGTGCAGGTACACGCAAACTCGTGAAACAAATGGGTTTTGTTAAGGCTCGCCCATCTTAAGCTCATCGTGCGATTAATAGCAGTTTTAAGTGTTGTATAGGATTAACATGGAAGCCACGAGAAGAAAGCAGTGGTGCATTCAAGTTCCTTCCGATCTGCAGTGAGAGACATCCACATTTAACACGCAGTCTGATCCATATGCTAGCGAAGTGCTGAATGGTCCGGTTGGTGACATTGTCTCCGTTAACATGGCAGAGATTTCCTATGAAGCACCATGGAAGCCGCGCGCGAGAGCGCATTCGCTGTTCATAGGATGCCACGATCAATCTGAGATACCGCTCTGCCCTGTCGACAGCTTGTCTTGGAATAAAAGGTAAGTTGGATACAAAGGGTAAGGTCATGCAATCCAAACCCTTTTATAACCAACTGAACAACTGTAATGTTGTTTTAGTCATCGATGATCAACTGAAAAACCGACTAAAATCATAAGTGAAATCATAAATAGGCAGGATTTGACATAAGGACGACACAAGATTTTGTTGTCCCTTTGGCACTAGACAACGGCGCAGCATAACAAGCTAACAGGTGTTCTTAGCGCAAACTTGGATGAAAACAGCTTGCACAGTTTGTGCTTACAGTTTACACAGTGTGTCTGGCGAGTAAGTCGGAAGCTGTGTTAAGCGTCCGTGTTGTCGACAGCATCTACTAGGAATGCACAAGATATTTTCATTTCTTGCTGACTTTTGATAACGGTACCCCAGAAGGCATGTGCTGATGGGTACCTGCTCCAAGAACACAAACAACACAAACACCAACACCAAACCATGCCTTCCGCCCCACCCCATCCTTCACAAAAATATCGATGTTCGGCAAATTGTCACTCCTTCAGAAAAGCATTAGTCCTTATTTTATCATTTTGCCATTTTGCATCTCGTTGTTCTCTTTGTTACCTGTTAGTTAGACGGTGAGACATTTAACAAGCGAAGAAGTCGCGCACAAAGCTTGACTGAAATTTCCCGGTTCATTTCCTACCCGTCTGCCGGAAGGTGTGGTTTACATATATATATATATATATATATATATATATATATATATATATATATATATAGATATATATATATATACGTGTGTGTGTGTGTGTGTATGTATGTTATGGTTTACAAACTTATTTAACTTCCGAGCGCTTAAATGTTCTTGCATTTTACCGGATTAAGCCTCGAGGCTAGGCTGGTGAAGAACATCTAGGCAAAGCCAGAGCTATTATAGAATCTTAAGTTCTCTTTTTGCGAATCTAACAGATCAATATTAGTTTGGAAAAAAGGCTGTGAGATTTCCACTGCATGCTGAAAGCTATTTTCTGTTAAGATGATGCTCGAAGTTTGTAAGCATCAGCATGGTGCTGGGCTGATCTCACCAAAATTTCGGATCGCACTCTCACCGCTCGGATTACACGTGGAGCCAAGGGTAAACGCTTCCCCCGAGTTCGCCGCTCCACTCGGCCAGCATCTGCAGGTGTCGAGAAGTGCTGCGCGTGTGGAGACACGAGCGGCACCCTCGAGACGCCGTGCTGGACTCGGGCTGCCCGAGCAGGCCTCTGGGTCTTACCGAGCAGAGTCCACTCGCCGTTCGGGATGAAGTTACTGGCGTCGCCCTCCTCGCTTGGGAGAATCAGATCCAGCTGCAAAGACGGATGTGAATCATTTCAGTACACTGGGGTCATTTACATCAGGCGGACACCAGTCCAGCTGATCCAGCGGCCAAATAAGCAAGGCCAAACAAACGTAAGTACAAATGCAAACCTTGCTTTGCCTTGCACTATCCCACGTTCTAACTCTGAGCCAGCCTAGCTCTGAAATAGTAGTACTTGCAGTGGGATATCGTCATGGCGCCGTCAGAGCTGTGACGCTGCATATGAGGCGCACTTTAGACCTATTGACCACATAGGTTTATAGACCCTTGAGACCGCAGCGGCACCAGCCCACAACGGTACTGTTAAACATCGCGCGAGCTTCTCACCTTTTTCGAGTAACTTACCTTACCAGCCACTTTCGTCAAAGGTATGACGTGTCAGTGTGGACTTTGAATTTAAACGAACGGATTCGCGATCTGCCACGTCTTGCGCATGCCGCGGCACGATCGAATGTCTCTCAGGCGTGCTGTGACGCCCATAAGCCTGAGCGCTATAGCACGTGCCACACATCTTTGGCATCCTGCATCGTGCCAAAGAGCGTACGGCGGCTGGCCGGCGCTCATCCGCACCGCTCACCTGCCAGCCGTCGTACGTCCAGGAGCCGAACTTCATGTCACACTCCTGGTCGTCGAATGGAAACCATGTGATGTCGATCTTGCAGGTCGACTTGAAGATGCCGGGAGGTATGTACAGGCAGCTCCCATTGTTTTTCAACACCACATTTGTCGGGTACGTGCTGTCGAACTTCTCGTCAGCACTGGAAGTATCGGCACGGATCAAAGATGTGCGATGTGTTTCTATCATGACACGACGGCATCCTACCATGCTTCATTTTAATGCACACGGGCTAATGCGGACGCAAGAGAAGAAACGGCATGATGAAATGTTCCTGGAACAAGTGAACAAACGGACAACTTGTCACCATGCAAAAACCTGCAAAAACATTCAGTTCTTGAATTACCTCCAAACATTTTAGACAAAGAATTCAGAAGGAAGGAAATGTGGGTAAATAGGCACATAAGTGGGTAATTAGCTAGTAAGTAGGACATACATCTCCTCCACTGTACCTGTTGTACATAAGAACATCTGGCTTCCATATCTTCTTTGGCGGAATACGTAGGTCTTGAACGCCCCCGTATTCTGATGCATTCCATCGTAGGTTCACGTCGTTCCACTCCTGTATCCAGACCATCAGTTAACAACTGGCAGCGATGCTGAAGAACGCAACGGCTGGCGCGGTGTCTGGATGACTCAGAGCCAGTAAAGCGTTAGCCACGGCTGTTGCCTTCTAACTTTTTTGGGCCCAGGCTCTCCGAGTAATTTCAGCTTCAAACATTAAGGGTTCGACGAAGCATTGGAAACAATTATCTCAAAAAGCCCGAGATTACTGGGGAATTCCCCATTTATATTTGGGTAGGTTTAGCGGGTCGCTTCTGAACACTAATATTGCTTGATGTGGTTTTGAAGGGAAGGGAACCGCGAAAAACGTTATACGTCTGTGTCAAAGGCAGCTTTTCAACCCTTACAAGACCGGATATCTGAAATATGGCCACTTCGACGCTCTGTCGTGGGGTGTAGCGGTATGAGCAAAAAAGCTGTAACGAAAATTCCGCTTTGCGGTAGTCGTTTTCCACGGGGGTACGATGAAGGCAAAATTCATAGGAGTGTTGTAATGTAGAGAGACGACGCCTGACACAAAAGGGGACGAATTGGATGAGGAGAATGCACTGCGAATTCTGAAGTATCTACAAAGATATTTTTTGCCAGTCCGTGACGCTTTTTCTTCACGTGGAAATAGTTTCAATGTTTTATTAACTGAACTATTCGCTGCATGTCTTCAGCTGTTTTGTTCGTCAATGGAGCTAACCCCACTTCTTATCCGTGTACGCTTAAAGTAAGCTGCTTAAATCCAACCAAACGAAATCTTACCCATGGAAGGTCTCTACGCGAGGGTTAAATAAAATATAAAAAAGAAACGAGAAGGCGGCTCTGACGCCGTCTGTAACAACCAACGATACATCGTTCATGCAACGTTAATGGTTGACGTGTAACGTCGAGCAGACGAGGCAACATGACGCGTGACGTGGCGTCTCTCATGTGTCTGTCTGTCTGTCTGTCTGTGGGATTTTTCACATGCCCGCAGGCTGCTGTTGGTTCAAGCCAGCGAACGGCTCAAGTCTGTGGCGTGAAATCCTGAACCCTCACTAGACGCGACATTCTTACAGTCCCGAGTTCATGGGACATTTCCCTTGCCATATGTCTGGATACAATGGACCCATCGCATGGACACATCACACAAATGCGGTATACAACCCTGTATCCCAATACGCAGATCTATCTGCTTGTGACCTCAACGCCAATGTCAACGTCGCAGATCAGGTCAAGCTCATATATATATATATATATATATATATATATATATATATATGACACATGTGCAATCACTTGTCATGTACTGAGTTCAAAATCAGTTTAAACACTCGCCAGCAAGAATGCATATACATGTCGGCCATCGAGCTGCGCTGCATAGGTCGACTTTGCCGGACAGTCAGGCCTTGAGTCACGGCAGTCCTATGCCGGACGGGGGTGAAACCGTTCCATGCACAAATATCTAGCGTTGAACATGTTTGGTGATCGAAGTGTTTTCGTGGTATAAATTTCGTGATATGAATATAATCTAGCCATGTGAATGACTGAGTCTGAACTGACCAGCTTCTGAGGCCATAATCTGACCGTGAGCTTTGCACTTCACGTGCGTGATGACATTACCACGCATGCACCGGGAAGTCCAGGGGAACAGTTCATGAGGACCTTTCCCTTGCCATATGGAAGGGAAAGGTCCCATGAACTCATGAATCCTCCCCTCCCCCATCATGCTACACTCACTAACACGGCGTGCAAATCATGCACCGTACAAAACCCATGCAGTTCTGCCAAGTGCATACCACATTTTTTAGAAGAACTCATGCCACCCACAGCAGGGTTCGATGGTCGAAACAGGAACGTCCTTAGGTAAAAACACCGAGCAAAGAGAAAGCTCATCAAGCTGCTGTCATTTCAGTCTCCAAAACAGGACAGCAAACGATCGAGGCAGCCCTCGAATTGGAAGCGGAGAACCCAGTGGGGGCAACAGTCCTTATCTATTTAAAGTCAAGCCAGCGACTTACCAAATTTAACCACACATTTGTAATTAGCAGCTGGTTCTTCTCATCCTACGGCAGCACCGAGAACAAACAGTGTTAGTAAGGTGCAGCTGACTATCGGACCAAGCGAGGCAGGCAGGCAGGCGAGCGGCCACCCGGGCCCAGACCGGACTAAGCCCATCGCCGCCAGCTTGCTGGGGCGCATTTGGCCTGACAGACCTTGCGCTTGCTCATGCCCGTTAACTTACCATGGGGCGGCGCGTGGCGCGTCTCAGTGCCGGATCGCACGAATGAGCTGGTGCTGCGAGGCTTACCGATCACACGTGGCTGTATCACGGCTTACTATGCACGCATACTTTGTGTGCCTGAGCGTGTGCATGTGCGTGTGCGTGTGCGTATGCGTGCGCGTGTGCGGGGGTTGGGGGGTGGTTGGGGGGGGGGGGGGCGCGTTTGTGTGTACCATTGACTTCCACTCATGGTAGCGTATTCAGGCAAAACCGCATATGGTTCCGCATAACCGCATTCAGTATAAAACCGCATATGGTCTCGAATAGCTTATATCAGCCACGGCCAACGCTTGCCACAACTGGTGACTAGCTGATGCAAAATCCAGCCGTGTCTCCACATAAAAACACGCCCGCTGGCGTGCACCACTCAGCCAGCATCGTCTGAAGCCAGCGTCCCCCAGTCCAGCGCGCCGAAGTCCGGCAAGACACGCCCTTCGCGCGCGACGGTCAGTCCGAGGCGGGGCGCGCCAGAGCGCGACCCAACAGGGTACATCCGCCAGCCTGGTCTCCTCTGGGCGGAGGTGACGGCACCTCAGCTGGCTACGCGCCGACCGTACGTCACCGGTGACGGATCGTGGGTGGGCAGCGCCACCGGCTGCCGCCGAGCAGTGGCTAATGGACCAGGGCGGCGCGGCGCGGCCCCTTTGTCCGGGCGGCACACCGGTGCCCGGGCGGCCGGGCGCGCGCCGCACACCGACTGCGATGGGCGACGGTGGAGGGGTTCCCCGCGCTGTCAGGAATCGTCGGGATGCTCGGCAATGACGCTCACGGTGGAGACATGTTCCACACTGACGCGGAGAGACACGAAGCTCTGACACGCGTGGTGGAGACCTGTTCCACGATGATGTGAATGGTGGAGAACTGTTTCACGATGATGTGAATGGTGGAGAACTGTTCTACGATTATGTGAATGGTGGAAAATTGTTCCACGCTGATGCGAATGGTGGGAAGATGATCCGCGCTGACACAGGTGGAGGAGAAATGTTCCGCGCCGACAAGGAAAAGGACAGAGCTACGCCAAACCGTCACACATGGTGGGGCGGTGCTTCACACTGGCGTGGATAGTGGAGACGTGAAGTGCAAGGCCTAGACACCACGCTGAGACGAAAACGCGCGAGACGTAGACACCAACTGTGGAGAGGAGTCTTGCACTGACACGGAACGTGAGCTGGTGGAGAAGAGCTCTCCTTCACGATCTAACACGATAGTGAAGAAACACTATACCGAAAAAAGGAGAATGCATTTTAATCACCAATATGCCGCTTTTTTAACATAAGATCCGCTTCGAGCAATTCCGTCACAGCGAGAACATTTCCGTGTATAATTCGTCACAATTTAACCCGCCTTAACAAAAGTGCCAAATATAGCACACGTGTGCACATCCACTGCACGAAATTGCACTCGTTAATCCGCTCCAACACATTGTTCTTGGCCAAGTTTGGATCTATGGTAATCCTGAACCGGTCCTATCTGAGATTCCCCGGCCTGGTCGGGTTCTATCCACGGATTAATTTTAAATCCATGGATTCCTTTTGGCTGCGATAAGCTCCAGATGGAAGACAGTGACCCAGATCAGTGAAAGGACCTCCATATTGATACAGCAGGGGCAGGACTCGGACACCGACAGTGCAGAGTGATTTACGCCTACACGGAGAGTGGGAAGATGCTCTTTGACTCACTAAGATGATAAAGAATCGCTCTGTATTTCTTCATTTACAGGGATTACAGAGATATATTGAGAGCAATAAAGTATGCAATTCTCGTTTCCTTTGAAATCAATCGGATGTCGGATGCAGTCAGGCATCTGCGTCGATAAATTTTTTACGGAACTGCGGCCGCTTTAGGTGGAACGGCACCAATGTGCGCTGCGGAACCCCGGAGGAAATATTCCAATCCGCAGTGTATTGGCCAGCAGATGCGAGGAACGACCTCGCCGACGAGTGGCAGCCCTGCAGATGCCGTTCTCGAGCAAAATGTGAGCACGGGGCACATAAACTGTCGAGCAGCGGGAGGAAAGCCAGGCGTGCCTTTGTTTCTCCGAGAATTATTTCAGTGATCGGCTGTTCTTTGCCAGGCGGTGATTATTTCTGCGACGAAAACGTGTTTAGCTGTTTCGCACAGCCGGTTCAGCATGTTTCCAACATCCTCGCAGCCTTAAGCTGGCTGAAGGATTGCCATCTATTTCCAGAACGGGAACTACAGCTTATCTGAGACGGTGATCCGGACAAGCCTACCGTCAGACGGCGGATAGAGCCATCCCGCAAAGGATTGCGAGAAATGTGTGTTCAACTCAAGTTTTCAGTACACGGCTCTGCTTAATAGATATACGGCTGCTGTATTTTCTATTTCCCCGCCCCAAAGCTACCTGGAGGAAGCAAACATTCCCCTGAAAGCATGCATACTATCGGCGGTTGACGAGCACCGCGAACTATATGATTTAGAGGCCAGAGCCCAGACAGCCCAGGGGGTCGGGCCGACAGACGCTTGCAGTTTCAGATACAGTCTGACGCTAAATACAGAAGGTAACTCGAAACTCGAGGCTTCATATTCAGACTTGGACGATAGTAAACTCGCCTGCAAAGGACTTTATGCTCACGACTCAGGAGTGGATCCTAAATCACGTGTTAGTATAATATCTGAACATGAATCTTAAAGACAAAGACTATGCGTGGAGCCCGCAAAAATGCAAATATTGAGATCGGGTGATCACGCAAGGCAGTGGCGGAACGCTCCTACTTACAACCGCACCAGTTTGCCTCAAATCTGCATCAATCAACTACCGGTAACCATTTGTTGCAGTAAAGGCTTGAAATTACACATCTGCTTCCTTATGCAATACTCCAAGATGATTTGCACTGAGCTGCCAAAGCTCAAATTAATTTAGACTTGCAGTACTGTTGACCAATGGCAAGCCCTTGTGGATGTGACGACCTCTTTAACCCCTTGCAGCGACGCCTCCAAACTGAATGTGACGTTGATTGCAGCGGAACATCGCGTGACAGCGGCCGGCCGAGGCGCTCGCGTTGCGTGGCTGGAGGTGTCTGTGGCATGAACGCTGCGTGACGATTGCCAGTCGACACATTCGGCCACTTGCCAGTCGACACGTTGCGCCACTTGTCGTATGCTTGACTGGCGCCGCTTCGGACCTGTCAGGGCAAGTGAGCATGGTGCCGAGAATTTCAGCTTCGATTACGAATGAAGACGCCGTGCCTGTCTGGTGCGGACGATTCCTTGGTGAATCATTCAGTGGACTGTCCCAGTTGCCACGTGACGAGGTAGGTGAACCACTTCGTTTCCCGTGACATGCAATCGCGGCAATGGAGACTAACAATTGAAGGAAATACAAAGTGGCGGAAGCGGACGGATGTAATCAGCCTCGATTACACAATCCTGTCGTGAATCGTGATGCGCCAGCCCTCCCGTGGTCGGCAGTGCCTGCCGTCACGGCTAGCCTCCGTGGTGATCATGGCCATGGCCTGCCGTCTGGTGATCATCAGGCTCCGTCGTGACGCTCAGACCGTGCCGTGGTGGTTACACCCCTCGAGGCCGGTCAGCCCGGCGGTGACGTCAGCCATGAAGGTGCCCCTCCCCCCCCCCGCTCCCAGCTGCGGCAGGCCGACCTCGCTGACCGGCGCGCGGCGGCGGCAGCAGCGGCCGCGCAGCCCGCCGCCCCGGGGGACGTGTTGGCCGGCCGGGCGCGGTCCGAGCCCGGCGGTCGATGGCGGCGAGCCGGTCCTCCGAACGGCCGGCCCGGCTGCCGCCGCCGCCGCCGCCGCCGCCACCGCCCGGTCAGCCTGTCGGAGCGGGGCCCGCCTGCTGCCTCCTGATAACGCTCTTGTGCAGAAGGTTGTCGGTTTCAGGTGTGGTGGCTGCAGGTAATTTAGACTGTTGCTATTTCCCACGCGAGCTGTTGCGCGCCCTGTCAGGATGTAGATAGATGGTTCATAGCCGTAATGTAACGCACGTAGTGTTCGAGTATTCGTCTTGGCGTGGTATGCGATATACGCGTCGACCTATGAGCTTGAGAAGTATAGTAATGTCTAATCGCCTTGATGAGAATGTAGTCAGCATGCTACCGTATTAGATAAACACAATTTAATTTATAGTGTCACCAGTGGGATGGCGTAAACAAACTATGAATGTCATATGAGACTACAACTTCATCGAACCGCTGGAAAAGAATTATGAAAAAACGCTTGGAAGACAGTTATGTCCAGGGCCAGGAGAAAAACTATAGCTATTTAATAAACGATATGCTATGATGTGGTGCATTATTTAAAGTGGCCATTTGAGTGACCAAGGATGTCAATTGCCACTACCATACGTGATCTTTGGTAAGTGTGTGCACCCGCGTGTGCGTGGCGTTCGCATGTGTATGCGTTCACGTGTGTGCGTACGCGTGCACGTGGCATGTGCGTACGCGTGCGCGGGTGGGCAGCGGGAGAAAGGCGATGACCCACCACATCGATGATCTGCTGCAACGTCAGGCCGAAGCTGACCACAATCGGCTCCGACTCGTTGGCCACTGGCCGCTCCAGCACGTTATAGTTGTTCAGCAGCTTCTCCAGCACCCGCTTCTCGTGCGGCCCCTGGACCGAACCTGTGGCAGGGGAATACTGGTAAGCACGCATATTGGCTTCGATCGATGCTAATACCAGCAGCTGCTGGCAAGCATCGTGCATGCGCCATAAAAACGACTTGAATAGTGGAGATCTATGCGTGTGGTTCAGTCTCTAACGGGATGCTAAATGCGGCATCATCCCGCAAAACTCTAAACGACGTTGCTGGGCATGGACGCCGAGCACACGATTTGGAGGGTGGGATGGGGGTGGATCTATTGAAAAGCAGGATGTGCAGAAGTATTTGTCGTGGTGCAACTAAGGCCGATACGGCTCTCAATGTTGTTGATGGGATTTATGGGGAAGAAGATGTCATTACGTACAACACAAAACATTTACTCTTGGTGTCTTGGCAAAGACACATGCATTCTCAGACTCCGGGCGATCATCACCTAAGCAGGCAAATATGCTTGGAGAAACGAAAAAGAGGGAGGACACTCAGCCAGCGGTAGTCTCTTGGGTGCTGAAATCTGAACTACCTAATCAGACCGTGTTGCGGCATCTGAGACAAATTACTGCACGAAGGCTGCCAGTGTAGCTGCAAGGAGAATCACCGCGAACCCCTCGAATGTGAAATGATAGCAAATACCAGAGAACTCGCGATTTCTGAGAGCTGTACTTCAGAACGTGGCATTTTAAGCGTAACGAACCTTTTTGCTTCAAAAGCTGGTTTCACGAAGGATTACGTTGCAAAACTTTGATAACTTTCTAAAAACTTTCCAGCGTTTACTTTCCAACCACACGCCTTTTATCAGGTGATTTTCGGATGGAAACGTTTGGAAGAGATTAAAATACATGTAAAGACGCATAATTTCATAAAATTATGCCGAGCTAGCTATCAGGAAGATTGTGCTTGTATGGACAGGTACAATGCTAGATCTCTTCCTAACAAAAATTGTCGAACCTTATTAGAAACATTTGGCGACATGTCTGAGACAATCGCGGCAAAACAAACTCCTATGTACTTGTAACGTCCCCAGTGATAAGGCACGTAGCACTTACAGAGCTCACCGTACTCACAAAGCTTACTTGCAATACTTACAGAGTTTAATGTGCATATATACCTTAACATTATCTTAGATGAATGATTCTTGAATGAAATGATCTTAAAAGCCCATCCTGCTCAACACAGCACCGATATAGACAATAATGGGGCAGCCGGCACCCAAATATCTCACCGATGCACATTGCTGATGGCAAGGCCTAGTATTTTCCCAGGACTTGGATGGGCTAAAGGCCTTGACTGAAGAAATGTCTATAAAGCATCCTGTTTAATATAAAAGGCGTATTCTTAGCTGAATGCATGTGGCTTATATCTTGCATGTTCATGGAATTGCATGCAAGCCATCTGTTCCTTGTCAGAGTGTTAGTATATATTAAAGCTTTATAAAATAAAAGCATATTTAAAAAAGTTTAAAACTTTTCAGTTCATTAATCTCTCGTGAAAACGGCTGATGCTTTCGTTTTTGTTGTATATGCATAGTTGAAAATTATTCAACGCGCGTAAATGTACCATTAGAGCATGTGACTGACCCATGAAGTCTGGAATGAGGTCTGATGAATATGATAGTGATATTTCACGGCAAAATACCATGCCGATAGCAAAAACCTCATAACTCAGCCCTCATAATCACACAACGGCTGTCATGTCACGATTGTATCCAACACTGACAGACAGCACTGCGTGAGCGTATTTCCTGCAATTCACACCGGCAATGCAGCCGTGTAATTGTCAGCAAATGGATCACCACAAATCTAGTGGTCTTGCGAACATCGCTACGCGCAGTATAAGCAAACTGCATGATTTCCAGAACCTAACTTCCACCTATGAGCGCAATCAATATGCTGCGGGACGCAGCGGCGTACTTCCAGCCTTCGACCGGACCCGCCGCGATCGGCCGGCGCATCCATTCAAGCCATAGAATGAAGGATGGTCCCTGCCACACCTCCAGCGGTTCGGGCCGGCGAATAACCAATCGTTTAAGCCACTGAGGACGCTGATTGGTCGTCCATTGATCACGGGGCCACTTGGGCGCGCCGGCGTTGCATTATTCATGGCGGCCCTCTGGCCTTTCCACATGCCGTAGGGGACGCCAGGCATCTGTCTCGGAGCGACGATGCATGGCTCCACAGAACTTCTCCGAGGCACTTCGGACGCATGGGAAGGAGTGCTGCGTTTGCATCCGAATGAGGCGTTTGCATGATCCCACGCCTTTTCCTTGTGCGACTCAACGTGCGATTGTAGTAACACTCATGGTGGCTTGTAGAGCACTTCAGGAATGATATAGATCTACGGATGATGGATCAATCCGCGGGCCGGATTCGACTAGATCTGAAAGTTTCACCAAAACATGGACTAAAATCGGACCAGATTTTCAGGTTTGCCAGCTCACACGGATTGGAAGGATTTAAAACCAATTAATAAAAAATTATCAATTAGCAGTCCCTTGAAGGTTTACTGAAGCATCAACTCAGAAAAGAACATTTCAACCAATGAAATACAGTACTTGCAGTACAGTACAGTAATACAGTATAATTCAAAGCAAAGCAAAAACAGGCCACGTAGAACATAACTCAGCCACATGTTTCACAAAAAAATTCTGCCGAAGAGATCACATTGACAAAATGGTATGAATAAGTCACACTCATATGTTGCTAAGGAAAACCAGAGCTCCCATTCTTTCCAAGGCAGCCAAGTCACGTAATGATGTAACATCCTGTCTTGTCATAACCTAGCAACCATTTCCGCTGATCTTGTCAGTAATCCCATTTAATCCCTGTGGGTGACACTGCAATTCAGAGTTGCGACACACGGCGGAAGCATGCTTTATTTATAGAAAGCACAACACAAAGTTTTGAAATGCAAAGTCATGTCTGAAAAGTTAGAACAGTTAACTCTATAATAACACTATAGCTTCTGTTTATCTAGTCAGTCAGTCAAATTTGTCAGTTAAACACTAGCTTCAAATTAAATGTGCTGCCTCAGCTAATCCATTTTCACGTGTCTGCTTGAACAGATCATTGTATGCTTACAGATATTTGTTTACCCACTTCCCTCCCCAGCTGATATGTCTCAAGAAATAGGCGCGCGCCCTTTGCCTACTCACGCGCCCATTGCCCTCAAAGCCATGGATCAAAGCCATCAAAGGTAGCTTTCTCATCAAACGTGAGCTAGGTACTCCTTGCATGCAGCAAAAAACCTTTGGTATTGATTAGGTACTTGTTGATGAGCGACCTATCTTTTCTATTCCCACTGCATAAACTATGCACAAACTGGAAGCCAACAATGCATTTCCATACCTGTGTATCCTGTTATGGTTTACGAGGTCCAAAACACTTTAAAGAGAGTTAGGAAATGAACGTGGGTGCACACGCCACCCATGCGTTCGCACTTTAAGTGAGGACCGTTCATTTACACCTTAAATGAAGATTTGGTAAGATTTGTAGTAGTTCGTCCGATTACTAAAGCCTACGGCAAGTGACTAGTATGAACACGAAGTATCCGGTCACCAGCGATCATGGCAGATGTCGAGAGACGGGCGACAAGTACGCACCTTACTCTTACACCACGTTTTGTGTACATAAGATGATGATGATGATGAAGTGCTCACGGCGCATGAGAGATGTTACGTCCTTTGACTTAAACGTTGCGCCATCTAATAAAATATTCATGGCAACTTCATATGCGCGCTGAAAACAAAACAACGGGTAAAATGTGACAACCTGTGGTCAAAACACTTGAAACACAATTTTTTTTGACTGCGTGCATGCGACTTCATGTAGCTGTGCGACGCATGATCACAAACAGAAATAGCTCTTGTATTTTTCGGTACGAGCATTCAAGGACGATTCGGTAGCAAAGTGGCATTTTAGAAACATGACTTGAAAATAACGCATCTGTTTCATTCTCCTGAATACAAGGGCAGGTACGGCAGGCAGTACGGCACAGTCGCATACGTTAATTGTAATGTGGGCGCACCCGGTAATGGTGCAGGAAATAATGGAGGCAGTTGAGCTTGTTTCATTAGTTGGTGTGTCCAAGAATGGATGCACACCTGACGTATCATATATCAAATGACACGGGTGTTCTAGTTATTTAGAAGGCATATTAGATGACCGTCATCCCATGCTTGTGAACCGGGTGCCGCTAAAATTGTATAGTGTCATGCGTCGATTCGGTTTGTCGCAGCCAAGCTGGAACCTGAAAATTATAGATAATGCACTCATGCCTTTACATTACTGAAACCAAAAGTAATTTTAGGTGTTGTGACATGGTACTTTATGTGAAATATTGGCGAAAATAACTGTGAGATGATGAATAATATAATGCAGCCCGTTTGTTCTTATCTAAATGCAAATTTACATTCCTAACAGTCAAGAAGCTGTGTTGACTCTCTGAGCAACCACTGGCTGAGAGCTATTTAGAGGACATTTTTAAATGGAAATCTACAAATTTCTTGCACTTGATATACTCAGATGAACCAAATTTGGTGTTTTGATTTTTTAAACCCCATAATGTGAAAGCGAAACGGCTCGAATTCATTTCATACATTTACAAGTACAATGTTTCACACCAGTACAATGTCGATGTCAATATCAAGAAACTTCTTCCTCGCCGGGATGCAGTCGGACACACCTGCTGCGGCTTTCGCTGGAAAAACTCGACTGAGTTCATCTGACACGCGTCAACTGTGGCCAGGCTGGTGCAACCGAGGGAGCACTGGCCTGCCTCGAGCCCCTGCTTTGGAACGTCACGAAGGGACGTCACCTTGCGGCCACACACTTGGGTCGTTTTGCTACGTTAAACAGAGGAAGACATCAAGGTTTGCTCCCATATAGTTGACATTGCAAAGGGCGATATTAGAACTGTTTTGAAGCGATATATATATATATATATATATATATATATATCCTATTGGACATGCACGTTTTTCTGTTATATTCTTCATTTTACCTGGTTTTGCTACGTCGCCCGTGCAAT